GGGGGGGCGGTGAAGGAGAATGGTAGAGGGGGTGAATTCAAATACTATACCTTTGATGCATTGTAAGAACTTTTGTGAATGCCACAATGTACCCCCACCTAGCACAACAATTTTTTTTTTTAATCTGTGTTCCTAAAGCATGCAAGCTCCAGAGGAAGACACAGTAATCTTGTTTGCTGCTGCCATCCCCTACACTAGCAGTTTCTGACACATGGTAGCTATTTAGTAAGTACATCTTTGGAATGAGTGATGGAGATGGAAATAATTATTTCTACAAGAGTTGTGGGATAGGGCTGGCAGAGTAGCTCAAGTGGTAGTGTGCCTGGCTAGCAAGCGTGAGGTCGTGAGTTTAAACCCTATTTATCACCACCAAAAAAAAAGAAGAGTTAGGAATCAGTGCAAAGGCTAAAGAGAGATAATAATTGAGCTAGAAAAGCAGCACAATAGAGTGGAGGACATTGTGAGCTTTGCAGAGAAGCTTCAATTGCTTTGGAATTTGTAGATAAATGTTCATGATGTCTGCTTAACCTTTCAGACAAGGTGGTGAAGAAAGGGAAGAAGGATAAGAAGACCAAAAAGACGGTGAGAAAATGAAGGTCAAGGAGAGGATAATGACTGAGAGTGTTTCTAGGCAAAATAAATGGCCATGTGAAGGAGATGGGAGATTCAAGGGAGGGGAAAAAGGTCTTGCCAAGAGAGGAAGAAAGCCAGATGCCAGTGAGTGACTCAGGCCTGTAATCCTGGCTACTCAGGAGGCAGAGATCAGGAGGATTGCAGTTTGAAGCCAGTCCAGGCAAATTGGGAGACCTATCTGGAAAACACTCAAAACACACACAAAAAAAATGGCTTGCAGAGGAATTCAAGTGGTAGAGCACCTGCCTCGCAAGTGTGAGGCCCTGAGTTCAAACCCCAGTACTGCCAAAAAAATTAATAAAAGAGGAAGCAAGAGGCCAGACAAAGGCACATCTGTTGTCCCATGTAGTTGGGAGGCCAAAGTAGGAGGATTACTTGAATCTAGAAGGTCAAGGCTGGCCAGGGCAATGTAGCAAGACAAAAGGTTAAATCCACTGATATAAAAAGAAGGGCGAGAAAGAAGAGGCAAGGTGAAGGTGGGAGGGAGGACCTGTGTGTGCAGAGGGCTTGATCTACCTTGTACCCATGCTTGTCCATACCTTAATCCCTTTATAGTTCTTTGAGGAGCTGGCAGTAGAAGATAAACAGGCTGGAGAAGAAGAGAAAGTACCCAAGGAAAAAGAACAACAGCAACAGCAGCAGGTATAAGTGATGGGCTCCCAATCCTGGGAGCACCTGGGGCCCACCAACCGCTCTCCAGCCAACATTGGTTTGCTTAGCTGATGGGGAGCTCTCCATGGGCCAGAGGTAGACCAGGAACCTGGGCTTTATTCTCCCACTTTCTCTTGCTTTCAGCAGCAAAAGAAGAAGCGAGACACCCGAAAAGGCCGGCGAAAGAAGGATGCAGATGATGATGGAGAGGAAAAAGAACTCATGGAGCGTCTTAAGAAGCTTTCCGTGCCAGCCAGTGATGAGGAGGATGAGGGTAAGTAACCTAAAAGGAAATGGGTACCTGGGATCCTTTAGTGATGAAGAGTGATGTCTCATACCTTTGTCTTTTGAGTTGGATTAAATGGAGGAGCCAGACATTGGAATTCTCTTGCCTACCTACCTCATTATCTCCCTTTGTCATTTCAGTACCTGCTCCAATACCCCGAGGAGGGAAGAAAACCAAGGTGAGCTGTCTGTTGGTAAACAGAGATCCCTAGGGTGCAACTATGTCCATGACCATCCCGTTGACTTACTGTGGCCCTTTCTTCTTCAAGGGCGGTAATGTTTTTGCAGCCCTGATCCAGGATCAGAGTGAGGAAGAGGAGGAAGAAGAAAAACATCCTCCTAAGCCTGCCAAGCCAGAGAAGAATCGGATCAACAAGGTGACAGTGGTGACCCTGCCTGTCACTCCTACCCTATGCAGTGCCTTCTGGCCATGGTGTGGTATTTTTCTGCTTTTTAAATCAGCTCTTCCGTGAGCGATGCCACACTTATTTCTTCGTAGTGGCACTCAGTGTAGTTAACTGGAGCATCTCCCTAGGAAAGCTTTTGAGCACCAGAGCGGCAAGTTAATCTATGTGTGTCTCCTGCAGGCTGTATCTGAAGAGCAACAGCCAGGGCTCAAGGGCAAAAAAGGAAAAGAAGAGAAGTCAAAAGGGAAGGCAAAGGTAAGAGAGTGACTAGCAGGAATACTGGATCTTGGGAATTAGAACATGTCGTCAGACCTGTCTTTTCCCTATAAGCTGCAGAATAAATTTGCTGCTCTGGACAATGAAGCGGAGGATGAAGAAGATGAAGAAGAAGAAATAACTAAAGAAAAGGATGCTCCCAAACAAGGGAAGGAGAAGGCCAAAAAGGCAGAACAGGTGTGTATTTTGCTGGGGGTGGGGGTGGAGAGCATAGGTGAGAGAGTCGGGCTCTGGCCTTTAGGGGAGAGTCTGGATCGGGGGAACTACAAACTTTTTCCAGAAAGACCCCTGCTTTGCAGTCTACATATGCTCTCTATTGCATGTGACCCTTGGATCTCATGTGTGCTAGGCAGGTGCTCTACCACTTAGGCTATACACCTAGTCCTTTTTTGATTTGTTTCATTCAAACTTTTTTTTTTTTTTTTTTT